ACAGGCACCCTCCAGAACGCCCAGCTAGTTTTCTGTTGCAATTTGGCTGGGGCTGGACTTGAACCCGTCACCCTCAGTATATGGGGCCGGCACCCTACCCATTGAGCCACAGGTGCTGCCCCCAGCAATTTAGTTTTTTTTCTTATATTTTCTGAACTGTAACTCACCTGTTCCCAGCACTAATTCCACTTGGTATGGTGACATTGTCATCTGGCACTGCCAGAAAGTCTTACCTTTAAAGAGTTGTACTAATTTCCAGGTCCTAGTGTTAGACAACCTGACATGCAGTAATCACAAATTCTTTTACACTCTGTTCAAACCTGTACGCTTTAGTGTGGTGTCACTGAAAAAACAGTCAAGCAGTTGACCTTAAAGATACGCTCTGGTGTCATTAAGGAAAAGGGAAGGCCCAGCAGAGTGTGTCTGGAAATGTGGAAGGCAAGCTACCTCCCTAGCCCCAGAGATAGTGCTACCAGCCTCCTGGGCGTGACTAAGCTTCTTGGAGGACAGGTTTTGAAGAGGATGACACATATGTTTAGAAACAATACACCTTTTCTCCAGTAGCTGCCTCAAAACTGGTAGACTGATACGGTTCACAAATTCATTGATGGAACCAGCCTGATAAGGTGCCACATGTTTGACAGTTTTTCAAATGCGCTGGCTTTAAGTAAGAGAGCCTTGTTTCTGGAACACCAATCACGTGCCTTCTATGGGAGACGTATAACGCTATCAGTTCAGTTCTGTCTCTTCAACTTCCCAATCCATTTCTAATCATTATGAAACAGCACTCTCGTTCCTAAGAGGTACAATAAAATGTAATTGGGAAGAAATTATAAGAAGCACAAATATAAAGAAACTCCTCTTCTAAAATGTGTAGTAAGGCATTATTAATTAGAGGCTTGCCAAATGATTATATTTTGGTCTGAATTTCATTCTTTCACTAGTTGTAAAAGGAAGTCACGCTGTAAAAGTTGATACATAGATGCTAAGGGGCTTCAATAACCTACTTAAGAGGACAGACTGTTATGAGATACTGAAGTATACCAATTTGAAAAAATCCTGACAGGCCAATTAAGAGGCCTTTATTTAGTAAAGGAGGAACAATTGGATATTTTAAAAAATGTACTAATATATTGTTATTATGGATCGGCACCTTGTCTGCTTGGCAATAAACACAATGAATGTATTTTAAAATATTCTGTATTTGCCTCTCATTAGCCCAAATTGCTAAGATTTTGCTGTGTTGAGTCATTTTGGGGGGAAGAGCCTTCCTTACAGTTTTCTTTTCCCCTAGGCTACAGTCTATTCTTCTTCGTGGAAAATGGCTGCTGAGTGTGCAAAAAGAGCACAAAAGACTTCAGCAGGAAGATGCTATGATCATTTGAGAGTCTCTAGCTCTTGGAAAATTCTCCAATTACGCCTATGAAGGCAATTTGATTTACCTTGCCCACTAATTGGACAAGCAACCAGCCATGGGCAGGGCCGGAATTCTGATTGCTCTTGCCCTTGGTTCCCACCTTCCCTGAGCAATAACACATCTTCCTGTCCCGGGGGTGGGGGTGGGGGGGTGCCCGCCGGTCTGCGAGCTTGTCACACAAGGTTCTGTCAGTCTGGTGAGCAGGAGCTGGGTCACCAATTAATGACTATTCTCATGGCTCCATCAACGTAAGATGTACCATAGTTAAGCTCAGGTGGGATTGTAAGGCCCTGAGGAGTTTACAAGACTTTACTTATAACAGAAGCCTTGGATTTCTTTTCTACTACACGGCTATTAGTAGGAAAAGTTAGCCCCGTAATCAGTTGAAGGTTTAAGTGCAGTGGTTTCAGGTGGTTAGGGAATGGCCTTGGAATTGGAAGATGTCCATCTATGTGTCTGTATCTCTTTTATCTCTTTGTTCCCTAGTCTCTCTCCCTTTCTTGGACTATTTGCATAATTATAATTGGAATTACTTGGCTTCAAAAATGATATAGTTTCAGGCCAGCACAGTGGCTCACACCTGTAATCCCAACACTTTGGGAGACTGAGGTGGGCAGATATCCTGAGCTCACAAGTTTGAGACCAGCCCGAGATAGAGCAAGACCCCATCTCTAAAAACAGCCAGGTGTTGTGGCAGGCGCCTGTAGTCTCAGCTACTCAGGAGGCTGAGGCAAGAGAATCACTTGAGTCTAAGAGTTAGAGGTTGCTGTGAGCTGTACGCCAGGGCAATCTACTGGGGATGACAAAGTGAAACTGTCTCAAAAAAAAAAAAAAAATGATGTAGTTTCAACCTGAGGGTCCATCAGAAACTTTGCCATTGCTTAAATAATTTTTCTGTTTGTAGCTAGAACAGTTTCACCAAGCAGTATGGTGCCACTGTGTCTCTAGAAGGAGTGCGAGGTGTTCATGGTGTAAAGGATGTAACTTATTAAGGGAGCCCTGGTGGAACGGCTGTAATTAGCTGAAGATTTCTCTAGAGGTCTGTTGCCTGTCTGAGGATAAGAGGAAACATTTATCTAAACAAGGAGGTTTAAAATCTCCAGGGGACAGGATGGTGCCTCTGGCTCAAGGAGTAAGGGTGCTGGCCCCACATACCGGAGGTGGTGGATTCAAACTGCCAAAAAAAAAAAAAATCTCCAGGGCACATGTGATATCAAGTCATAGCCTTTTTATTTCTTTCTATTTAGCCTGATCGGCATTGCTGTCATTGTTTTTTCAGTGAAATGCAACCTATCTCCCCAAAAGTCCTCTCAAGTTAAGCCTCTTGCTTTAGGTTTCTGTGGGGGAGGCTTTAATGTCTAAAACAATTTTCAAACTTAATAGGAAGTGAAATAATTAGAAATCACAGTGCTCTCCCCCAATACAGGGTAGCCATAAAGTTTGTGTACAATTGCACACGATTTTAAATTGCACACGAACTTTATGGACACCCTGTGTGAAGAAATATTGCCCCACGGAGCTGAAAGTAGCAAATTATAAAAGATGGCACAAATACAATGAAATCTTAGGATAAACTCAGATATATACTATTGGTAGCTGCAGCAAAGTTTATGAAAAATTGGTAACAAAAGGTTATTACTGAGAAATTTCAATTCATTGTTTTTTTTTTTCATACCTCTATGAGTCTGGAAAAAGATTGCCATTTTTCACTTTTATTGGTGGAATACCTAAGCTGATGTTTGACACGTCAGAGCTCTAATGGACCATAATTTGACAGTTCCCGGTACAAAATCATATTAGCTATATTGTGCTCTAGGAATACAGTGATTATGTCCTTGGATGTTGTAATCAAAGCGTTTGCTCTGACAGTGAGCTGAAATTTGAGACATGGGGAAATCTGACACCAATTTCTTTATATTGACTTCATTCATGGCTTAAGGGAGAAGTGGCTGACATTTAGACCTGGGATTCTCACTCCAGAGTCATCACGCAGGGAGGGAGTGCCCAGCCTGCCAGCAGGTGTTGGTGTCATGCCTGTCTCATGCTGAGAGAACAGCATCACTGCTGATTCAGACGATAAGAGATGATTATGGAGAAGCACTCAAGAAGCAATATATACCGACACTGGAGGGGAAAGGGCTATTTATTTAGAAAAGTTCACCATCAAATCACTGGACAGAATAAACAACTCATGGAGAAAATCAACACTCATTACAAACAAAGGGAATCCACTATAATTTGCTGATTTCCCTAGGCACTCTCCCTGCGATGCTGAACACAACTCTCGCAAATAGCTTCCACTGGATTAGCAACTGTGCTTGTGAACAATGCATCCTTTTGGTTGTTGTTGTTGATACCCCTTTCCATATTTTTCTGAAACATACTTAAGCATAATCCAGTGCATCTGATGTTAGTGAGGCATCAATTTAGCATTAATTTCTCTGGTTGGAAATATGAGCCATATGTTTACAATGGTAATAGCAACACTATGCAATGTAATCATTTCTGAGCAGATTGATATATATTCATCTAAAAGAGTTCTGAGGGCTTGTATTCATTTTTGAAGCACCAGCAGCTTTCAGTACAGAGGCCACAGAAGTTTTCTAATTTTATGTTATGTGTCTCTACTGGTGTGACTCTGATTAGAGGTTCAAATAAAATGGGGATTCTTCTATGCATTGATTCTGTTAACGGATTCCTTGTCTCTCTCCTGGCATAGCGGGGCCTGCAAGTAAATTACTGTACTTGTTACAGATTTGTAGCAGAGCACCACCAGGGTTCTGTAAGGTGGTTGTTACACTAGATTTCCAGATGGTTGAGATTTTTTTTTTTTTAAATATACTCAACCTCACTTGGTAAATACATTTTTACAAAGGTACAGAAATCCGATGAGAAGCACGTCTTTCCAAGTGCTCTCACGTGCACATAAACAGCTCCCATTTTGGAAGTCAGGAGGGGGCATGTAAAAACAAAATGAATAAAAAAAAATTGCACATAGAGTAATTTTAATCCATTCCATTTTTAAATACCACAATAAATTTAATTTTCACAATAAATTAAATAGCCATATTCAGTTTACAAAATAGAATTACTTAGTGTGAAACCAGTATTTACAATATACACTAT